ACCCCTTTGGGTGTGGGTGTGAGTCAAGCTTAAGAATTTAAAGGCACACTTGGGTGTTGCCATTTTTATTGATTCTTAAGCTTGGTCATTTAAGTTGGGACTTAACCTCAACGCAGATAAGCTGATCACTTTGAAGTGTTAATATTAGATCCTTGATCCAGAGATGGACGGATCTGAAATACGGCTTAGATGATGCACAAGGATTTGAGAGTCTTTGATAATCACGCAGAGATGCGAGTTTTGCATGTTTTTAGCTAATGTTCATATATTAGTCGAGTTTATACGACAATGAGTTGTGAGTATAAATCTTCATGCTAGTGGAACTATATATCCTTTTATCTATTAGCTAAATCGGCAAGTTTAAGATTGATAAAACTGGATGCTTTGTGGGCACTCTGTGGGCACAGTATATAAGAATTCACTTTCGAGATATAGGAGTTCTTATAGAAGTCCCATGAGTTTCTGACCAAACTGTTCCTGCAATATTCTTAAGTAAAGCTTACACCCATACCCATATTTTAATATTAAAGGTTTATTTCGTATTTCTAAGCTTTGCACAATCAAACTCAAATATTTTCTCAAACCGAAACATGTTCAAGAAGTTCATGAAAATCTCATATTCTCAGTAAGTCCAGTCCCTGTGGAAACGATCTTGGTACTATACCACTTTATTACTTGAAGCGATCAGAGTGTCAGTGTGCACTTGCACCGCCACTTTGGGGTTTTTGTGCTCACTGTGTGCACACTTACGATCCGAGCGCATCAAGTTTTTGGCGCCGTTGTCGGGGACTGGCGCGATTTTTATCCTGAGATATTGATTTTCATTAGAGCCTTGGTCATTTATTTTTATTCGTTCCTGTGTTGTATGCCACGGCTACAACACGGTGATCTTTTACATCTTGATCTTGAGTTAGAGAGAACCATTAGGAGACGAAGAAGAGGTAGAAACAATCGGCGAAATCCCACTTTAAACCGTACCATGGGGGATAATCCACCTCCTCGGGAAGCCACGGTTAACATTACCGATGACAAAAATAGAGGCATACGGGATTACGCAACTCCCGAATTTGGTCAATTGGCCTCGGGAATTGGTAGGCCCGAAATGACAGCAACATCTTTTGAACCCAAGCCGATAATGTTTCAAATGATTTCCGCTATGGGTCAGTTTGGGGGATTATTTTCGGAAGATCCGCACTCTCATTTGAAATCTTTTATTGAAATGACGGATCATTTTAAAATTCCCGGAGTTACTCAAGAGGTCTTACGCTTGACACTTTTCCTTTATACATTGGAGGATAGAGCTAGAGCATGGCTAAATTCTCAACCACCAAACTCGATCCTTACTTGGAATGATTTGGTGAAAAAATTTCTAAAGAAATACTTTCCTCCGACGAGGAATGTAAAAATTAGAAATGAGATTATGACGTTTCGCCAAGAAGAACATGAAGCGGTATCGGATGCATGGGAGAGATTCAAGGACCATCTTAGGAAGTGTCATCACCACGGAATCCCTCATTGTATTCAATTGGAAACCTTTTATAATGGACTTTCCAGTGCCCCTAAGATTATTCTTGACGCAACGGCCGGTGGCGCTTTCACAGCTAAAATCTACGAGGGGTATGACATTTTGGAACGAATTTCTAATAGTAATACTGAATGGTCTAACCCTCGTGCTGTTGTTTCTAAATCTGCGTCGAGAATTCATCAACTTGATGCCATTGCTTCTTTAAATGCTCAAATTGTTACTTCAACTAATTTGGTTAAAAACAATTTAAATTTGAATGGGGAAAAGAGTCAAGTGCAATCCGTAATGTCCAATTCTTCCATGACCGAATCTTGTGTTTTCTGTGGTGAAAGTCATTCTTATGAGTTTTGCCCCAGAAATCCCGTTTCGGTAAATTATGTTGGGAACCATACAAGAAATAGCCCATTTTCTCCTACGTACAATCCAAATTGGAGAAATCATTCGAATTTTTCATGGGCCGAAAATTTGGGACTTCAAGCCCCGGGGCAACTCAAGTCCAAAACCGACCTTCAAATCCCCCGGGATTTCATCAAGGTGGTCATCACATGCAAGGTAATCATCACATGTACCAAAATGGGCAATCTTCCCAATCACATGCACCTAGGCAACAAAATGCATCGAAGGGTAATGGTTCACTCGAATCTTTACTCAAAGGTTTTATAAACCAAACCAATGCCACCTTGAGGAATTTTGAGACCCAACTTGGCCAATTTGCCGCGGATCTCAAGAATAGACCTCAAGGAACTTTGCCTAGTGACACGGAAACACCTAAGGAACATGTTAAGGCCGTGACTTTAAGAAGTGATAAGAACTTGGGAGACTCTAATGCCGCAAAGGAAACACCTAGTAAACCGATTTGTCAAGAAAATATTTCACATTCTTTTGACACATCGAAATTTTCAGTTCTGTTTCCTACAGTTGAAGTAACACAGAATCCTGTTTCTGTTCCAGAAATAGCAGATTTGCCTAGTTCCAGCACCACCCAGTCTCCACCTGACACTGCTTACAGTGGGCAGAAACTGCCCACACCCCAACAGAAAAAGATCGGTCCAACAGATTTAGATATGAGAGATTTACCTTTTCCAGGTAGGATGAAAGCCAAAAATATGGATGTGCAGTTTAAGAAGTTATTGGACATCTTTAAGCAACTCCACATTAACATACCTTTGGTAGAAGCTCTCGAGCAAATGCCTAGCTATGTTAAATTTTTGAAAGACATCCTTAATAAGAAAAGAAGATTGAGTGAATTTGAGAACGTGTCTTTGACAAAGGAATGTAGTGCCCTTCTTACTTGCAAAATTCCCCCAAAATTAAAAGACCCGGGAAGTTTCATAATCCCGTGCTCTATTGGAGGGAAAGAAGTAGGTCATGCCTTGTGTGACATTGGGGGAAGTATAAATCTCATGCCTTTGTTCATTTTTAATCAGTTGGGAATTAGGGAAGCTCGACCTACCATCGTGACTTTGCAACTAGCGGATAGCTCCTTAACATATCCAAAAGGTAAAATTGAAGACATTTTGGTAAAAGTGGACAAATTCATCTTTCCAGCCGACTTTCTAGTGTTAGATTATGAAGCCGATAGGAATGTTCCGACATCTTAGGAAGACCCTTTCTTGCTATGGGTAGGACATTGATTGATGTACAAAAGGGAGAGTTGACCATGAGAGTAAATGACCAGCAGGTGACTTTCAATGTGTTTAAGACTCTTAAGTTCAATGAGAAAATTGAGGACTGTTCGTCTATTTACTCAGTAGGTGAAGATTTAGATCTAAGTTTGATCGACTGTGTCCACAGTGGAGACACTGTGGGCACGATATAAGACATTTGTGAAGAAGACTTACTTGAGGACATAGCTGCCTTTGAACAGTTAGATTTTAAAGATATACCAACCCAAACCCCGTCCATTGTAGAAGCACCCGACTTAGAGTTAAAGCCACTGCCTTCGCACCTTAAATATGCATATCTTATGTAGGGAGAAAAAATGCCCGTGATTATTTCTTCCAACTTAAGTAGTGAACAAGAAGAAAGGTTAGTAGATTTGCTGAAAGACCACAAGAAAACCTTTGGTTGGACCATAGCTGATATTAGGGGAATAAGTCCGTCCCTTTGCCAACATAAGATCATCTTGRAAGAAAATAGTGTTGGAAAGGTACAACCTCAAAGAAGGCTAAATCCAATCATGAAAGAAGTGGTTAAGAAGGAAATCTTGAAGTGGTTAAGACGCGGGTATTATATACCCCATTACTAGTAGTGGTTGGGTAAGTCTGGTACAATGTGTGCCAAAGAAAGGTGGTACCACGGTAATCACCAACAATAAAAACGAACTTATCCCAACTAGGACCGTTACCGGGTGGAGGATTTGTATGGATTATAGGCAATTGAACTTAGCTACTAAGAAATATCACTTCCCTTTGCCTTTCATAGATCAAATACTAGATCGGTTGGCCGGAAAGGAGTTTTATTGTTTTTTGAATGGGTACTCGGGATGCAATCAAATCCATATTGCACCTGAAGATCAAGAGAAAACTACTTTCACTTGTCCCTTCGGAACTTTTGCTCTCCGACGTATGCAATTCGGTTTATGTAATGCTCCGGCCACTTTCCAACGATGTATGATGTCTATTTTTTCGGATATGATTGAGGACACTATGGAAGTTTTTATGGATGATTTTTCGGTTATTGGCACTAATTTTGAAAATTGTCTTGAAAATTTGAAGAAAAGTTTGGAGAGATGTGAGACCCATGACTTGATTTTAAATTGGGAAAAATGCAATTTTATGGTCCAAGAGGGAATTGTTTTGGATCACATGGTTTCAAAGAAGGGTTTGGAAGTTGACAAAGCTAAAATTGAGGTGATAATGCAATTGCCCGAATCTACTTCGGTCAAAGGCATTCGTAGCTTTTTGGGACATGTGGGTTTTTACCGACGGTTTATTAAGGATTTTTCTAAAATTGCAAAACCCTTATGTAACTTGTTGCATGTTGACCAAGCTTTTGAGTTCACCTCCGATTGTAAAAAGGCTTTTGAAACAATCAAGAATGCTCTTGTCTCGGCACCCATTATAATTACTCCAAATTGGTCCCTACCTTTTGAGGTAATGTGTGACACAAATGATTGGGCCGTGGGTGCCATTTTGGGACAAAAGCAAAATAAATTTTTTCACCCCATATACTACGCAAGTAAGACTCTTGTTGAAGCTCAATTAAATTATACCACTACGGAAAAAGAATTACTTGTGGTAGTATTTGCTTTTGATCGTTTCCATTCATACTTGATTGGTACCAAAGTCACTGTTCATACAGATCATTCTGCAATAAAGTATTTATTTAACAAAGTTGATGCAAAACCACGACTTATTAGATGGATTCTTTTATTGCAAGAATTTGATTTTGAGATTGTTGACCGAAAGGGAAGTGACAATCAAGTGGCCGATCACCTTTCTAGAATTGAGGGAAATGTATCAAGTGGGGGGAGTCATGAGATCAAGAAAGTTTTTCCGGATGAATATGTTTTGGCCATACAACACAGTTTTCAAAAACAACGTCCTTGGTATGCGGATATTGCCAACTATCTTGCATGTGGCCTCAAACCATATGATTTTCAGGGAAATCGCTTTAAAAAATTTCTTCACGATTGCAAGCATTATTTGTGGGATGATCCGTTCTTTTATAAAATGGTATCAGAGCAAATTTTGAGAAAATGTGTGCCGGATGATGAAATCCAAGTTTTGTTAAAGGAATGTCACGCATCACCGTACGGTGGACAACGTACGGCTGCTAAAATTTTACAAAGCGGATTTTTTTGGCCCACCATGTTTAAAGATGCTTTAGAATTTGTGAAGAGTTGTGACCAATGCCAACGCATGGAATTTGTCCTAAAGAAATGAGATGCCCTTGAATAATATTTTGGAAGTCGAACTTTTCGATGTTTGGGGTATTGACTTTATGGGACCATTCCCCATCTCTTTTCACAATCAGTACATTTTGGTTGCGGTAGACTATGTCTCCAAATGGATAGAAGCAAAGGCTTGCCCAAGAAATGATGCCAAAACGGTAGTGGAATTTTTGCATAAAAAYATTTTYGTWCRTTTTGKWACACCCCGAGCATTGATAAGCGATGAAGGGACTCATTTCATAAACAAAGTGTTAAATGTCACTCTTGAAAAGTACGACATCCAACATAAAGTAGCCACGGCTTACCACCCGCAAACCAATGGTCTTGCGGAACTTTCGAACCGTGAGATTAATTTTTTTTAGAAAAAATGGTTAAGCCAAATCGTAAAGATTGGTCCCTTAAATTGGATGATGCACTTTGGGCCTATCGTACCGCTTTCAAGACTCCATTGGCATGTCTCCGTACCAACTTGTTTTTGGAAAATCTTATCACCTTCCGTTGGAATTAGAGTAAAAGGCATTTTGGGTTATTAAGAAACTTAATTTAAATGCAACTCTAGCGGGAGAGAAAAGAAACTCCAACTCAATGAGTTGGAAGAGATGAGGTACCAAGCCTACAAAAATGCCAAAATATATAAAGAAAAGACGAAAATGTGGCATGAATCAATCAGAGAATTTTTGAAAAAGGTCAAAAAGTGCTTCTTTTTAATTCTAGATTGAGAATTTTCCCCGGAAAACTCAAATTTAGATGGTCGGGACCTTTCACTATTGTTGAAGTGGGAAAATTTGGAACTATCGATCTCTTGAACCCACAAGACAATACGATTTTTAAAGTGAATGGGCATCGGGTCAAACATTTTTTCCCAGAAGGAATGCAAGATCCACACAAGAAATCTCTTTGAATGATTGTCGAACCATCTGTTGTAAATATTGTAAATATTTTTAATTTTCGTACTTTATGTTTATTTCGTGCAGGTATGCTCACGGTAAGCATCTCATGCTCACATTCTGAAGTGGGTTTTGGTAAATTTTTGAATTTGGTGGGTTTTTGTGGATAAGCTTCAAAGAAAAAGAAAAGGGAAATTAGAAAAAGAAATAGGATTTTTAAAATGAAAGAAAATGATGAGTTTTCTGAATTGGGTGGCTTGTGTAAGATGATGAGACATTTGTTTTTTTAAATTTTTTATTCAAAAATCTTTTACACAAAGGACTTTGCATGGGGGTGGTTTCCTAGGAGTCTTAACCACCAGATTTTTAAGAAAAAGGGAGGTTAAGAAAATAAGATAAGGTTGAAGGGTAATGATGGTTTCTGATTTTGGTGGCTTTGGAAAAGGTTGACATGACAAATGCTTTTTAATTTTTTATTCAAAAATCTTAAGCCTATTGAGTTTTGCATGGGAGGTGGTTTTCAAGGATAATAACCATCGAGTAATAAGAAAAAAAAGAGGGGGAAATTGCTCTTAGACATCTTTTGTTGCACTCTTCATTTTTCCCATCTCATTTTTCTTCCTCTCATGGCAAAGTCAAGAAAACCCACCGGACGAGTTCCAACTCGTCGATCATCGCGCCGATCAGTCGCCGACGAGTCGTCTGCTGTCGTTCCCGTCGCACCACCGGTTGCCGATTCCAAATCATTGTCTCCCAACCCCATCGCATTTGCTCCGCCAGCCAAAGAATATGTCATGGCGACCACCGGTTAAGCCATGATCGTTCGCGTCGACTATGATGAATCCCATGTCATTGTAACACCAGTAAGCATCCCTGTTTCTATTCCCCTAGTCACTAGAACTTCCACCACCACCACCACCACTATTCCTAGTGGGAAGAGACGAACCAGAAATTGGACAATATTTTGAAGAAAGTTGGAAGTGTGGAAGACCGAGTCTCGGACTTGGAGAAGAAAACAGCCCGCTTTTGGGCATATACACGAGACTGGAACCGTGTGGAACGACAGCTTCATGCCCGTCAAGACCCCCTCTTGACAACCCAACTTCCACGGTTTCCAAGTGGTCTATGCCCCCCATAGGTACGATGTTTCCCGCCCGTTCAAGCTGCCATGCCGATCACTACTGCTGTTGCTGCCCCTTTTGCTCCTGCTCCTCATGTTCCTGTTGTTGCTTCTGTCATTACTACCACCGCTATCATTGTTGCTCCTGTTGTCCAAAGCTCCAAGGAAGCGGATGCATCCCCTGCTTGCCCACAGTAAGCAGTTTTGAAGATTAATGGTTAAATTCTCGAACTTTCATCACTGCCTCTTAAACATTATTTTTGGTATATCTTTTGGGGTACATATACACTTATTATTTCGTCTTTTGTGTATGATTTACGGAAGCGTCATTTCTTTTGTGTAAATATTAATGACATGGTGTTGGATCTTTTTTTTTTTTGTCTAGTTCCATTATTCATTTCAGGTCCAACATCCTTGGATGATTTTTGGTAGTGTTCAAGTTAAGAAGATGTAGGCCCTCCTTCTATTTTTTTAAGCCCAAACACTTTTCCCCTTGCGCCAAACCCATACCCTTTTGGTCCATTTGGCAACAATGGGGACATTGTTATTCTCAAGTTTCGGGGTATGTGTTCAAAAATATATATACCGTCGAAAAATTGGGAGGTATGAAAAAAAAAAAAAGAAAAAAGAAGAAAACAAAACAAAAAAAAACAAAAAAAATAGAATAATCAGTCTTCGAAAAATCGGAAGACGAAAATAAAAAACCCGGTTATCCAAAAGGGCAAGTTTATGCCAAGAAATGGGTCAGGAACTTTTTCCAAGTACTTAAAAGTGAATCGATGAGAACTTTTGTTTCAAACCCTTTTGTAGTATAGGATAAGTTTGGGGGAGGGATACACGCTGTCATTGCCAAAAACACTAACCCTAAAGTCCTACTGATTAACGGGCAACATTACGAAGATCAAACAAGGAAGTTG